GACTCGAGGGAAGACGTTCAGGATTAGAGCCATGCGTCTACCTCGTGTTACTGCAGAACCGTCAGCGGAAACAGGCCGACGCTCGACACCAGGACTAGCCCGTCACGAGCCCATCGCAATGTCTAGGGAATCCCTTGATCTGACGCGTACACGCTCCCTGTCAGCGCGTGAAGGACTTGTGTAAGGAGAGTCTGCTGTGCGCGATAAGTTCACACTGTATTTCAACATGAAGTTGACTCTTAGGTTCTGTTCGCTTCCATGGTCGTGTGGTACAGGAGATCCAGTGGCCTGACGCAGCGGAGCGGGCAGCTCATTGCACTTTCCTTCAAACCTGGGGTCACCCGGATTTCCCTCGTGTAGCTTACATCGCCGACGGCACCATGGTGAACATGCGGAACCCTGCCAAGGTAGGACTTAAAAGGCTAGCACCTACGTTGGTTGCTGATGTGTGACATGCATAGAGTGGGTAAAACCTTGCTTAGTGTTTTTGGCAGGGTATCTCGAAAGAATGAATATGCATTAGCCCGTGCGAATTGTCTGTCTGTGCGACGTTGGTTTGTCCAGACCTGTGCTGGTTGCGATGGGCTCTGTTGGTAGGCCGCTCTCCCCCCTCTTTACCCTATGCTACCGTTTGAACTATTCGCCTTTCGTGCGCATGCGGAACATTTGTTTCACACTCCCTCGCCCGCCGCTTGAATCCCGTGCAGGTCGGCAAGGGACAACCAGAGCCTCACGCCCCGGTGCATCAGGCGAACTACTCCGGTAACAAGGGTCTTGGAACTAGCCATATCGTCTACTGCAACGTCAGGGGCAAACCGATACGGGTGCGTCGTATACTTTGATCGGAGTCCCAAATGCTAAGTCGTATTGAGGAGCTCACTCGAGTTGCGACCCTCGCTCCACCAGGACCACTCTGTTGTCAATCGCTCAAAAAAATCTACTGGAGTAGACGTGCTTCAATCAGTGTTGTGTGTTGTGAGACCGTAACGTTATTCCAGTGCGCTTGGACATGCAAGTCGGAATTCCGCGGCGCATGTTGAAGTGCTAACAAAAAGTTAGTCGGAATGGGGGGTGGGGGGGGCGTTCTACTTGACATACCGATATGCGCCGGCAAAGTACCCTCGGTGACGTGAGTTTCGGGACAAACCTTTGGCCGTGCAATGCGTCAAGCACCCAGACGAAGATTGACATTTACTACATAGGCTGATTCGTATGTAGATTGCCGTATAGTCTGTGGTGAAGAGTTCTTCTACCTTTGGTACAAATAGTGGAGCACATGACAAGGAACCCGCCACCTTTGCCCCCCTGGTGTCCCGGCGGGTGTGAAAACGTTGTGCAGATAGAGACGGTGGCTGGAGCGCAATCGGACAGGGGACCACATGTCGCTTCTAGAGTGTACACTCATCCTGAGGAGTTCCTGTCCGCCGACGAGGTCGGTATGGGGGACGGTGCTTACCTAGGGAACGCGCGAGCAGACAGCGACTTGCCCATGTGCGTACCCTACAGGAAGCCGCGGCAGGGGGATCTTTCTAATGAAGAGAGGCGGTTCAACACAGAGCAGCGCCGTTTCAGGGTCGTGGTAGAGAACACCATAGGCCAGATTAAGAAGTGGAAGGCAGTGGGCAATGGCAAGGCTTTTAGGCACCGACGGGACTTCGAGAAAGACGTCTTCGACGTGTGCGCTAGGCTCACAGCTCGGATCATGAGGGTTCGTGACAGGTATCCGCGCAGCCCGGAGTGGACTGGACGCGTGAAGGAGGCCTGGGAGGTGAAGCCCGGAATCCACCTCTACTGGGACTACGAGGACCCGAAAAGCTATCTTGTCCACAACGAGGGAGAGAACTATGTGTATGGCGTCGCGAATGAAGGAACCGCTCAGCATCTGCAGCAGTGTTGGGATAGCATTTGGGCGCTTGAAATCTAACAGGCGAACATAGCGCCGGTCGTGGTTGTTTTTCACCGACATGTTGTAGGAAATCTACATGACGGGCGAATGGGGTCGGACGCCGGCTGGCGTGACCCCGCATTGTTTTATGGTGTATGCTATTCCACGTGCCGATATTTTCGAGCGCGGGGGGACAGTTACGAGAGGCGGGCGTGCAGCGAGACGTGCCTTCAAAGATCGAGTTTGATTCGTTGTGTGGTCCGTTGACTTGATGTCCGTTGTGGTTGGGGCTGGTGTTATCACATCAGGACTTCGCAGTAGCAACGTGTCCCGTCTCCTATGGACGCGCTATCGATTGACAGAGAAAGCATCAGAGATACGATCGGCAGCCGGTCCGATATTTGTTTGTTCCAAGTGCTGCGACTTGTTTTCGTACCGTTGCGTCGGAAACCATCATCTCAAGAGGGCCTTCCTCAAACATTCACCTTCTGAAAAGTTTGTGCCTTCACAAGGCAAAGTGGCCGGTGAGCAATGACAAAGGAACTACGTATACATCGCNGCTATCGATTGACAGAGAAAGCATCAGAGATACGATCGGCAGCCGGTCCGATATTTGTTTGTTCCAAGTGCTGCG